ACTGCGCTTGTTGGACTGAGCTCTGTCAACCAGCTGCGCATTTTCAAAACAACACAAGACAGCTAACAGAGCTCCATAGAATCCAAATAACCTGAGCCATTACTGTTACATTTGTGGGGGATAACTATGACAACATGCCAAACAAACTGCGCTGAAAACAGGTAAATTTGTTCCAGAGTTAACACTAATAAGGATATAACAGATCTTATAGCAGAGTTTGCAATGGTGATTTAGGCACAAATCCATTTTCATTAAATGTTTACATTATTTTTGTAGCCCCCTATAAATTACAATTATAAAGAGAATTTAACTATTATCCAAACAAAACCTCACATTTCAAACCTAATCTCATTTTGTGGAAACAGATGGTCAACAACAACATGCAATGCGCAGTTAAAAATACATGAGTATCACATTTCTCCTTTCATGTAAAGAAAAGCTGTGACTACACAAGGCTTTCCGTGGGTTGATAAATACCACATAAAAATCCTTATCAGGTGTCCACACTCTTCCCAGGAGTGACCAAAACAACTATCCCACTATTTTAATACTACAATGGGAGTCATCCACAATAGGCCTTTGTGACTCAATATCTGTGTTCATGCTGCACCTCTATCAAAGAGGTTATCTACTATTTATATGGCATTCATTACAGCAGAGGGGCAGAAATGCCTGAATAAACACACTAACAATCCTCCATCTGGTCAGCCAACAGCCCATTATCATGGGAGCACAATCGCTGGCAACCACTGCTGGATGAGGACTTCAGTCGAATTTTAGGGAATAATAATAATAATAATAATATGCTAATAGTGAACTATTGAGAGTCCAGCTGTTTTAGGACATTAAAAGTCAAATATAAGTATATATTTGTGACCATTTTTAAATATTTATGTCTTCAATAGGAACCAATGGGCTCAGGGCTGAGATCCACCGACAGGCTGGGAAAGTAGAAAATACTGAAAGATACACTGAAATATTATTCGGTTATGTTGACAATAGACAAATAAAAAAAAATACAGAATATTGCCAGCCTTATCCTTTAATAATGCAGGCCAGGTCTGCTCAGCCCTGCTCTGGCCTGGGTTTGGTGGAGAAAGGCAAACAAGACACCACAACAAGAGTAATATACTGTTTAAATTAGAGTGAGGGGGTACAGCATAGGAAATTGCACACTGCTGTTAAATTTCCATTTGTTCCTTGCCACACACACATACTGTAGATCTGTATATATGAGAATACATTTTAGAAATTGACTGACACATTCAGAGTGGCAAAGACACTCTGAATTTTTGCTCCGAGAAATGGACAAGTAACCCAGGAAGCAGAAAAATCTCTATTTTTGCACTTGTCATGAGGTTATTATGTTGCGTTGCTAGCACTGTGCTCACATGCTGTGTCATTGTCTTCTGGACTGCATTTGCTTAGAAAGAAACAGAACATCCTGACACAGATTAAACCTCAGCCAAGTCGGCCTCTCTGCTCAGAGACCAAAACACTGAGGGCAAACTGGGTTGCAGTTACAATACTTACTGTTGACATATTAATAAAACTAAACCACAAGTACATATACACACATGCTCATACACAAAACCTGTTTGAACAATAACAGTTTGGCTGCAAACCACAGGCGCCAAGGCCGAAGAGTGCATCAATTGTAGATAGAAGTTACAAAAGGCACCACCCAAATTCACTCAAAATAGTTCAGACATATGCAGGTCTGCTCACTCCTGCAAAAACTGCATTTAATTTAGGCAGTTTCAGTGAGCAAACCAAAGGATTTGAGCTGATTAGATCACTATTTTTATATTACTGTCTGTATTTCCCCACTGCCTAACAGAGCTTTTGAGCATCTTACCGCTCATAGTTTTAGTATTACAATCTGCAAAATTACTATGACTCTCTTTTTACTCCCATCAGCTTCATTTCCAGCTGCAGCAGGCAGCTTGGTTTCTTAGCAAAAAGCTCAGATAAACTCAGCTGCCCACCACCAAAAGTCAGATAAGAAAAGTTAGCGAATAGCTGGTGAACATAGTGGAGCATTTAGCAGCTGAAGAGGTGGAGGCCAAGCTGAGCTAAAAGGAATGTGAATAATGGACTTATATTCGTCAGGTGGTCGGAAACACGACTCAAATAATTAATAATAATTAATAGTTAATGTTGCTCTTTGTCTGATCCATACATTTAATAAGCGACTATTTGCAACACTATAAAGATATTGAATTTTTATAAAAGGTGATAATATCTAGGCATTTTCATTTACATTTATTTTTTCCTTGTGATCAATGTGCATCATCCCTGTCAAATACACAAATCAAATAAAAAACATGATAATAATTTGTTTTAAGCTTACTGTGCTGCATCCAAGCGGTCAAAAAAAACAATTAATGCAATTAATGCATAATAATAATGTTGGAAATATGAGTTTTCTGAATTCAAGGCCTCCTTGCTTGCCAACTGCAAGATGAGAAACACGCGGCCTACTCAGAGCCCATCTTCAGCCCATTCCACTGAGCCCAACCGATCTAACGAAGACATATCTCTTTTCACCACTGCAAGGTCAAGGGCAGAGAGGGCACTTGGCTGACAGATGAATATCTTCCTTCCTGCTGCAGTCAGTCATCATCAACCACACTGGCTGGCTGAGCCAACTGAGCTCACACCTCTATCTGGATCAATAAAAACAGGATCACGGGTCCAGAGCAATGGGGGAAAATATTTAAATTGCTCTGGCTAAAATAAGAACAAGACTGAATGGGGGCTTTTGTAGACACTGGAATGATTACAAGGCAGTAAAATGCCAACTGTATCATAATTACATTGGCAGATTCAGACCTGTGAACAACATATTTACAGTCTTATATTATATTTATTACACTTATTTTATACAGTAGCAAGAAGAAATGTATTGTATACAGTATATCTAACTACGTTATTAGCCCCACACCTATGGTGTACAAATCTGATTTTCATCTATGGTTCATCTTTTTGTTCTGTTCAAACGATTTCATTCTATAGAGAGCTAAAAACAGGAAGGAGAAATTATCCCACCATCTCAGCAAGAGATTGATTTCATAATGGTACTTGCTTGATCTGAGGTGTTTTCACCTCATTGCAAGACCATTAGTGAGACAACTCTGGTGAACTTTACTGTATTACTATGGCAACCAGCAAAGTGGATGCAGAGACGTCCGTCTCCACAAGGCTGCAGCTTGGCCAGATCATGGCATATAGGAGGGGAAGTCCTTCAATGAAGCGCTCCCCATCTCTTAAGGGGAACAGCAGGAGATGGTGAAATTTGTTCCTACCGACCTGCACGGCTATTTTTTCCGGAGGAATGGTTGATACACACTGGGGCATTCAACTGGACAAATAAGGAGGCATTTTTACATTAATTCACCTGCACAGGAGGAGATGATGGCATGATTTGAACCTCTATGGCTTTCTGTAGTCAAATATAGCAATGAAGAGGAGTGGTGGAGTGGTCATTTAAGGCCTTTCTTCCTCACCGCAGGGGCCGGCTGGTGTAATAGTGAAAATCTGTCAGTACTACTGAACATCTAATAGATACTGTGAGGAGTGTAAGTATATACCATAAATTGTAAGGACTGAAGGCAGTGGTGTAACTTAAAAAAATACCTAAAGATAATAAAAAAATGTCTGTTTTGACAAAATATGTAGCAGCACTTATACACACATATTTTATAGTGTTTTTATTGTTCTTACCAATGAGAAAAGGATTTAACTGAATGCCCAGCTAAGGCTACTTAGTGGACTTCAGCGTGAAGCACAGAAACTAAGGAGCAACAAGCTACAGAAAAAACATGGGAATCTAGGTAGCCTGGCCAATTAATCTGAAATGTCATTAATGTGGCAGCCTCATAAATTAAACATAGTATGAAATGTATTGATTCATTTGCAGATAAATCTTTATTCTGCACTTGACTGGAGCTGAATGATTGTACTGTTTCTAATGCTAATCAATGGTAATGGTAAAAGCTTCCATTCCTGTCCCGATGGGAATTTTCGCCACCATTTGTTCTGCGCTGCTGCATTCAATTCAGGCAATGGCTGACAGGACCTTGATTATTTCAGACAGGTGTGTTGGTGACAGAGTTGAATCACAATGGTGCTGGTTCCCAGAAGACAGGACTGGGACTACTCAGAGGGGCAGTGGAGGAAAATGTTATAACTTAACTATTTAGTTAACTTAACCATGAGATTAAGGTTTGATCAACTGCGTTTTTATTCACCCTTTAACCAATTCATTCTCATAAATAAACAATATATGTACTAACCTACTACATACAACTCAGCCACAAAAGAGATAACACACTGCAAGCTATCAACTATTTTGACAATATATCTAAGACAAGCCACAAGATTGAAATGTAATTGACATTGTCATCTGCTAATACCATCAAAGCAAGTAGTTTCCCTGCTTACAAGCTGTGGTTTCAAAGGGCATGTCAAAGCAAGTATAGAGGAGGAAAACCAGACTACTTAAATATATGAAAGTATACATAAATCCACTGAATTTGGCAATGTAAAGTCTGACAACTGAGGGGTCACTAAGGAAATAAACTGATGCCCTTCAGGGCGACCACTGCTGACTTGTGCAGAAACAGACATAGGCTATATTTGAATGTATGCAACAGTGGGAGCAACATGTCTGAGTCATACAAAATGAACAGACCATATGAAAACAAAGAAAAACATATCGCATTTTCTTTGTCAACATAGATATGAACATGCATGCAACAGCCAATATTTTGCGTAATGCACCTGTAACAATATAAATATTGTAGAAAGAATGGAAATCTGCGCGCTTTGCAGTGCCTCAGTTATTGGATCTGTGTGGCCATTAAAAATTCAAGTCACACACATCTGCCCATAGACAATGTGGTCTCACTGAGCAGGAGTCAAGCATCAGCACTGCTAGCATCTAGCCTATAGCTAACAGACAGGATGAATAAAGCCGGCGTTAAGTGTCTCCCTACCTTTCAGCACTACCACCACCTCGGTACCAGCAGCATCCTCCCCTTCCGCGCCGCTGCTGGATGGGGGCTCGTCTCCCTCGAACAGCTGGTTCACCTCCCCCTGGATGTCTGAGGTGCGCCGGGCGCCGTCACTCTTGGAGACGGTGAACCTCTGGCTCATGGTTGTCGCCAGTGAGACAAGCGACGGGTTTTCTTGCCACGGTGCGGGCTGAAGCGGACGGACAAAGACAGCGAAAAATGCTCTCACTTCTCTCGGTATTGTAGTCCACCTGCACCGTCTAGTAAGTTCTCCTCCGACTACTGTGTCCTGTGCGTGCAGCCGCTCTTTGTCGGGTAATTAACGTTATATGTGTAACGCCGAGTGGACCACCTCATCAACCGGTGTCTGGTGGCTGCCGCGCACCTGGGTCCTAGAGCCGATGGTCAGTGAGTTATATCGCGCTGGTTTAAGGAAAACCTAAACAATCTATTAATCACATGATGCGCTTTATTACACTTAACACATGAAAAATGCATTAGACTAGCTATTTTATTTTATACAGTTTTAATGCTTCAAGCATTTAGAGCAGGAGAGGTATTTACATATCTGAGTTGGCGTTGCTAGGCAACCACAGACTAAGCTAAAGATCAGCTGTCAGTCATCCAGCTGCCATTGATTCAGTGGTTCAGCTACAATAGCAGTTAAAGTTTTGTGTAGAACACTTGTTAAAGATGCGTAAAACAGAAACCGTTTGCTGTCAGGGCTGGATTATCAACAAGAAAAAAAGGAAGCACCTTCCCACTCCAGAAATCCAGGGGTTAGCAAGCACCATTATGTTGTGTGAGCTGTTTGTGGTAAATTAATTTAACATATGTTTGAAATAATGCACTACTAAAGAACAATATCAACTACTGTTCTTGCTAATTTAATTCAAAGATGTGTTTGCAAAGAAGAACTATTAAAGCCCAATATCAACTCACATTATAGGGGCCATGGGTCCTGCTTTAGGCCTGTTATTTTATTTTGAGGCCCTGTCTTGGAGAGGGTCCTTAATTGTGTCAAATTCCATTTTCAATACCTTAATTATTTCAGTTTGGGCTTATTTGATATATATTACTTAATTTATTTTGTTTAATGAAGTTGGTTCACAGCAGACCTGGGATCAGGTAGTAGTGGGTGGGTTATTGGGAGCCCAGAGACATGGCAACCTTACCAGGTTTACAGCTTTAGTGGTTAGTGGTGTTCAGCATGTGACCCAAATATGCAAACAAGTACTCAGACTGGATTGCAGTTTCATTACACTTCAATCACACCACTGAAGAAATCTGTATGATTTAGGTGGTGATTAAGAGGTGAACAATAGCCACTGACTAGCTTCACTGGAACAGTTGGGGTCTCAAGGGAATCTCAGCGGTGGTTATGAAGGAGGGGCAAGTGTTGCTCTTCCACATTCCTCATCCAAAAAGGACTTTTTCAAAGCAGACATTTTTTTCTTGTCATAAAGCTCAGATGTTACTAATAACAGTGTGGCAGACAGTAAGGATGGGTTCAGCAAAAGTGGGTGTAATTTGTTTTCACACCTTACAATGATGCTATTTAAAAAGCTGAATCACTGAAATAAAATTTATACCTGCACACTGACTCCAAGCCACAAGTCCGGGGGAATCACCCAACAGGATTTGAATAACTTATTCAAATAGACAATGTTTTGGTGTGGGACATTTAAGCTTTGAGTTGTTTTGCAATTTGACTACATGCAACCAATACAAAATTTAAATCCTAAAATCTTCATTTCTATTTTTGTGACATCATCATTGTGGTTTGTGGTTGAAATTTGTTTGGCATGTTTTCAGGAAAAGCTGTGGATCTCAACAAACATCAGGGATTAAGTTGTAAATAACCATAATATTTTTGCTGTATTTTAAGCACCCAGCACCTTCAACAAACGTGGGACAGTGTTTTCACATAAAATTGGACATTAATGCTGCATTCCTGAAATCAACAATGGATTGACGAAGTGGCTCAAGAAGTCTATGAAAAAGTTTTGCTGTGATGTAGAGGTCCTTAAATACAGATCAAGTCACATACAAATGATTGTAGCATAATTGATTACAGTGCCTTAAAAACACAGTAAGATATTTAATTTTCGTAAAGAGTTAATATATTGTCTTTGCTGTCTAAAAGCACTGACAGTTTGTCTCATAAAACCCTGAAAAACCCCAAAAAAGGTAAAAGGTCTTGTTAGGTTTGAGAGTCTATACCTTTAAAACAGAAAATCAAACAGTAATCAATTCTATTTGAAAATATTTCTTAAGGGTTGCATACACAAACATGATTGGTGTTGTAGAGTGAATATTTGTTATAGTAGTGCCCTATAATCACCAACATCAATCCACCCTTGCTGAGCCCACTCATGGTCACAGTGGTGGTTCTAGACCATTTTTAGTGGGGGGGCCAGGCTGGGGCCAGTTGTTTTGTCAGAAGGGCACATTCAATCCAGGACAAAAGAGACAAAGGCAATTTTTTTTTGTATGTTTCAGTAACTTACAGTTATTGTTTCAGTAACAGGATCTTTTCAGTAACTTAGTTATACTTTTATTAAATTACATTACATACAAAAAAACCTTCCTGTTAATTTTAGCTCAAGTTACAGTACATTATTTGATGCAACACATAGACATTTTAGTGATCCCAGTTTGTATTTTGTATCCCACTACACATTTGTCCATTTTCATCCCTGTTATAAGTTGTAATGTGAAATATACCCAAAAAAAATACTTGATAGTAGGTCATCATCTGTGCATTATGGACAGGGATACATCATTTGGCAGACTACATGTCCAGCCTGGTAGAACCAGTAAGTGTTGTGGCGGCAGCCCGGCTGACGGTGAGTGTCCTGGTTTTTTCTCCTTTTTATCAGTTATTCTGCCTTTTCCTTGTTTTTCTGTTCCCTGCCTGCCTCCCTGTGTTTTCTCCCCTGTGTGCTCTCTCTCTCCCTCTGCTCCTGAGCCCAGCCAACTACCTGCACCTGCATCTCATCAGCCACCTCGTCAGCCTGCCACACCTGCCAGTAATCGTCTCATGCCTGCCTGCATTTCAACCCCGGTTCTCCACACCATCCTCGCTTGAGCGTTGTTGCTCCATACCCGGTGCCACCCCCACGTTCAGGCTCTCATGTTTCTTGTTTTATTCTCACATTTACCCCGTGCTTTGTCTCTGTTATCTCTAACCCTGTCTCTCTGTCTGTTTCCCTCCCAGGTACACTCACCCTCGTCCTCCGTTCAGTCGGCTGGGCTCATCCACCGGCCCTCTCCTCCTCGGACCTCCCTCACGGCGTCCTCCCTGTCCTCCCACCACTCCTTGCTACCTCGGCCCCAGGCTCCTTGGTTCCCTGTGCCTGTGTTTCCCCGATGTCCTCCACTCCAGTCCCTCTCACCCTTTTTCCCTCAATAAACCTCCTTCCCTCAGAGTGCTGCATTTGGGTCCTCTCTGTCCACACACCACACAACCCCGTAACAAGTAAGTTTTTGTGTTATTGTGTATGAAAAGTTCTGTTTAAATGCAATGCATTATTAAATTGTTATAATAATTGTTATAATTTACCCTTCAGTCTTTGATACATCATGAATGACATCCTGAAGTGTCAGCTGCAACATGGTCAAGTGATGTGCAGTTTTCATAGTCTGTGTAAGTAGCAAAACAGAAAATTAGAAATAACGCATTCTGTATGTATGACATTAACAACCCCACAATACATATTACCATTGAATACTGTGGCATAAAACGGCACTGTAGAGAATAACATTTTATGTATCATGATACAGCGCAACTACACTCCCTTTGTTTTCATATATTGGCTGTAAGGACATCTTACTCTATATGAACTATACCTTTTTTTCCAAGTCTCACCGTGATCTGTGTTTAAGACTGGTAGTTTGGTCCTGCTGAGACACTGTCTGTGTCTCAAACTCATTCAGCTCAGCAGCTGTGACAACTTTTCTCCTACCTGTTAAAGAAGCGATGAGAGAGATGTTGGCTCTGACGCACACATACTGGAGTTTAGATTATAGTATTCTAGAGGTAACTCCAAATGGAAAACATGATTTATGAATATTCTGAAGTTGGATAAAGGTGTTATATTAAGCTATTAGAAATATTACTACATATTTTCTTACATCATCTCCTTACTCAAGAGCTGAAGACTGTTGGGCTCATCCTCCTTTAAAACAATGCAGTAAGGATAGGCACTTTGCAGCAGCAGAGTTGCTTTACTACTTTGATCTGTAGAAAACATTAGACATAAGAGTGTGGATGGTAAATAATACACTAAATTGTTTGCATTAAAACTATAATATCAATCACATAAACTAAAATGTTAATAGGCTACAAATATCATGATTTAACAATAAATAAATGACATAAGATTGAAAACAAAGCAAAAAAGGCTGTTTTTGTGCATGGTTATAACATAGAATGGGACAGAACAAGCAAGTGAAACATGTCAGTAGCCTGCATTGTGAACGTTTAATATACACAGAATATTAAACAAAACTCTTGCTGTTGACAGAGAAAATTGTGGTGTTCTCATAGAAACCTGGTCCTGATAAATTAGCACAATAGCCATATCTGCCAAAGATTAAAAAAATATTGAATAACTAAAAACTGTACATGGTGCTGTATAATGCACAAATACTCTATGATTTATGCCAACTGTGTGACCCAAATCAGATTTTCTTTGCTCAAATGTGACTCAGATCAGATAACGTGACTGTGACAAGTTAAAATATAACACATTAAAATTTTAATATTGATTAAGTATTGTAAAGTCATGGTGATGTTAAAATGTTTACTGAGGTTATAAAACGATAATTAATTGGCAGAAGTTTATTAGAATCTCCTCAGGCCTCCTGACCAACCTTTGGAGAGGTTCCGCCCTCAGCGCTGGCCTCCTGCCCGATCTCCTGAACTGTGTTACCTGGGTCGTCCTCCGGGAAGGCCTCCCGAACCCGGTTTCCCCCCCTGGTCTGCCTGACCTCATGGGTCGTCCTCCGGGACGACCACCTGAACTGTTTTGCCCTCCTGGTCTGCTCGGTCGACCTCCGGGTCGGCCCCCTGAACTCTGTATTCCCCCTTGCTCGGACCTCGGCCTCCCGAACTGTTCTGCCCTGCATGCCAAGTGCCTTACCTGCCCTGTTTCCTGGGCATGATCTGCCTGTTGGGTGATTCCCCCGGACTGTTTTGTTCCCTAACCCTGATTTGCCTGTTTTGTCTTCCTCCTGGACTTTATGACCCCCCTGCTCTGCCCTCAGGCCACCTGCCGGAGAATTCCCTGTCTACTGCCTGGCCTGTCTGGGTTTTGTTTTTCTGTTGCTACCTTTTGGATGTACCAGTTCCTGTCCTCGTGAGTTCTGTTCATGCCAGTTTGTCATGCTTGGGATAAATAAACCCTGGAACTCAATCTCAGCTCAGTGTCTTGCATTTGGCACACTGAGGTGAGACTCAGCGCAACAGCAGCAACACACAAAGTCTTCATAATGGCTCTGATGCGTGTCTCTCTCAGGTCTGTCTTGTATTGATATCACTGACCAATTATTTCTGTTTGTATCTACCCACCCCTGTCTGAGTGGGTACAGAGCCTAACTAAACTGAACATTCACCCTGAATGTTAGCATTTTCAGTAAGATTGAATTTGTGAAACAAACTGGCATGAGGCCGCTACCTTTCACAACCTGGGGAAAAGGGCCAGCTGGTCAGGTTGTGTTTCATGTCCGTTTTGCAGTTTCATAGGAGTATGCTGGGTCCAAATTTGGTCAAGCAAGACTCAACTGTTCATACTACACACTGAGTCTGAGGAGGTTTAAAGTGCTGTCGTGAAAACCGAATTGTGGGTAAAAAATACAAAATGCGAGTTGTTTTTCAGATGACTTTGTTAAACATACTGCTGACGAATAAAGTCAACAGAGCAGGCATACAGGGAAAGAGACAGAGGTGTGTGTGTCTGAAGGGAAAGGCAAGGTGAACAGATTAATGTAGTTGAGTAAACACTAAAAGGATGAGGACTTCCTAAAAAGTTTCAGAAGATCGGGATGAATGATAAAAGACTCAACATACTGAGGATCAGTCTCCCATTCAGACATCTAACATTAGCCGATTAGGAAGCACAATGAATGGGGGAGAAGTGATCTACAGTTTGTTGGAGGTGCTCATTGCGGTCAGCTGCTGTCTTGGTTATTTTGGCACTGTGAACCAGTAAAAGCATTCAGCAATCTACCTTCTGCCTCGTTGGCTGTGGCTGACTTCAGGGTTGGCTGTGTGGCAGTACCATTGGCTGTGGTGGTGGATGGACCAGTCAAGACTTCATTCCACAGCTGTCTCTTCATCAGCTGTGTGGTCATCCTTTTGACGCTGGTCTCAGTTTTGTCTCTTGCAGCTATGGCAGTGGACCGATTCCTCAAGGTGGATATCCATCTCAGGTAAAACATGTTTTTTTTGATGGTTGTATTGTGCGGCGGGAAAATAAAACGGCACTGGTAAGATTGAAATAACTCAAAAGGCTTTGATTATTACAGTCACAAAATTAATTTTTATTTAACTTTTGGTATACAACTTTGAATTAATTTAGTGACACTGTGGTGAGAACCCATAAATACAGATAACAATCATTACCACTTTATTGGCACAAAAGAACTGTAACACAGACATTCTTGGTTTGCGCTTGCGGCATGTTGTCTTGTTGCAATATCACTGAGTTTTGCTCCCATGCTTGGATGGTACAACCACGAAACTTTGTCTAACTCAGTTAAGTCTACTATTGTCTGCAAGTTTATTTCAGTGATCCCACTGTCATACCTGCCTTACTTGTTTCTTTGTACCCTGACTCCTCTGTTGGTGATGACTGTATTGTACACGAATGTCTGCTATACTATTCAAGGAAACCTTCAAGAAAAACCAGCAAACTGTATACAAAAACAGTCTCAGTTTGTTTTAATGGCTACATGACTATGGAGGCACTTTTTTGAATACAAAGATTGATACATTTTCTTAACTCATCAGCATGTATTTTATTAAGCTGTCTCATGTTTTTTATGTTAGAAATTCAGTTGAAGGTCCTATTTTTCTGTAGCTTATCAGAAACACTATTTTTATAGGTTGCTCCTAGACGTACATGTTTTGTTGTGGCCAGAAACTAAGTAAAAAATATTACTTACAAATGACTTTAGTCTATGCCTGCTACAGTGGTTCACTTTCAAGAATCTTTCAATGCAGACTAAATGTGGAACAGAGATTTGACAGAAAACAACCTGTAGGGTCACAGTTAGTTACCACAGCAATTGACCCAATGTTTTCAGTTCTCAAAAGAGTTAATGTAAACTGAGCTTCCCTCATGTCAGGGTTGACAAACTCAGATTTCACAAAGCCCGATTTCTGGAATAAAAACCAGAGCTACAATCATACAGTACAATACAGCCTCAGTTCGCTTTACAAAAACTGTTAACTCATAGTCCTTCTGAACAAATTACGCAACACTCTGATATACAGTAAATAAGTCAAATTCAGTGCCTCATGTTGCTATTGTCCAAGCTGCTGTAGCTTTCGTCAGACAGAAGACAGCGTGGTTTCATTTCAGCTGGTTTGGATCAATACTGTTAATGGTGCTCGGTTGGATAAAAGATACTGGCTCCTTTGGTTGGCCAAAAAGGTTCTCCAAAAAGGTTCTCTAAAAAGTGCCTCTAACAACGCAGAACTTGTCATTTGTGAACAAAAGAACTGCATTTGTGATTCTAAGCGGCACATTCAAGCAGTTGTAGGTGTGTGTGTGAAGAAAAATATAAAAAATACTGTGAGAAAATATTCTACAGATGTGCAACTCTCTTGTGAATATGCAAATTTTGTACATGACTTCCCATTTTTTGATACAGGTGTATGTGTTTTGCACCATATTCACTGCAGCAAAAATGTGAGCAAATTTTTGATTCATAGAATAGGATTTGTGCATCTGCAATGAATAACTTGAGGTGTAACTGTTGTATTGTTTGTTGGAGAGAGGGAAAAAAATCTGCAAGTTTCCAACTGAAGTATTTTTCTGTGATAATTTAATGAAACATACGTGACTATTTTCTACAACTACAAATTCCACTGTCAGAGGTGCTCAGTTGTTTTGCTCTAATAATACCTTTATACGGTTCCTTTAATGCCAATTAAATGTTCCACTCTCTGTAATAGGATGTGATGGTCAGCGGTGTCAAATGCAGCACTAAGATGTAACAAAACAAGTAGAAACAAGTCCTTTGTCTGATGCAATTAAGGACATTTGTAATTTTCACCAGTGCTGTATCTGTGCTATGATGCACTCTGAATCTTGACTGAAAATTCTCAGATAATCTATTATGTAGAAAGTTACACAACTGATGGTGGTTGCTTTCTGAAGGATGTTAGAAAAGGAAGGTTAGATATTAAATACCCAATACCTACTACTGTAAATCAGACAGAAATTACCTTTTAAACTTTATTTCTTAAGGGTTGTGCCTTTTCACATAGACATGATTGGTGTGAGTGAATATCTGTTGTAGTAGTGCTCTATAATCACCAATAATTAGCCCACTCTTGCTAAGCCCACTCCAAGGCAACGTGGAGGTGATTAAAAAAATAAAAATAAAAACTGTCTGCAAGACACTTGATGGGCTCTGTGTACATGTTTTTCAGTCTTCAATACATCATTTGTGATGATCCCGAATTATCGGCGTCATCGTCCTTAAATGACGGGCAGTTTTCATACTCTGTGCAGGAAGCAGAAAAGAAAATTCGAAAGTTGACAGTGCTGACAACATTAATAACATTACTTTATACAGTATATCACATTCTCTAATGTACGTAATATTAACAACCACACAATACATTTTACCATTGCATATTGTTGTGTACTATGGCACTGCAGAGAATAAAATGGTATCATGATACAGTGCCACTACACCATCTCACCGTGATCTGTGTTTAAGACTTGTGGTTTGGCACAGCCCAGACACTCTGTCTGTGTCTCAAACTCCTTCAGCTCAGCAGCAGTGACAATCTTTCTCCTACCTGTTAAAGAGGTGACACATTTGAGATGAAAGTGATGATGTTCTATTGTTTATACCAGTTTAACCCACACCACTGCAAGTGCTCTCACACACACACACTCACAAACCATAGTTTATGTTTTTACAGTACATGTTGTCAAAGGCCTGTTGGAGATAGACAAAAGGTTTCACACAGCATGTCAGGAGGAGGAAAGCACCAAGAATGACAAACAGTGGGGTCAACATTTTTAACAACACATTCTTCCATCCGCCTGTTGTCCCATCCCCCAGAGTCCTGTGAGTCCTGACTCTTCTCCTTGTGCAGTAGATCATTCAGCTGGGGAGACATCTGGGATGTATGTACAACAGTCCGTTCCAATTATGTGGCAAACTCGCCAGCATCAGGTCCAGTGCCATTCTGTTCATCTCTGGTATCATATCTGATCAGTTGTATTACCTTGCCTACTCCTGTAATCAGTGTGCCCACAGTGAGTGTTTGGGAGATTAGTGGTTCTAGGTGGTCTCAGAGACCTCCACTCCCCTCCCTCCCTAGGAACACAAGGCAGGGGAAAACTCAGCTCACTCACTGATCTCCATCTTCACCTGGTCTGAGGCCTTTTGGTTGCTTTGGCCCTCGTTTGCAGTAAGTGGCGTGAATCCAAGTTGCTCTTTCAGCCACTTTTACTGCTGTTTCTGTTGTTAACAGTATCTGAAATGGCTCAGTCCACCTGCAAGCCCGCCAGTTCTTTCTCCTGAAGTCCTTTACCACGATCCAGTCCCCTGGCTCCAGATCATGCAGTTTCTTTTCTGCGGCCTTTGGGATGGCGTTTTTGACCTGCATGTGAATTTCAGAAAGCACAGGGGACAAATTAGCACAATATCTTTTTCTGGGAGAAGTTGTAGAACCCCTTTGTGAACCAGTATCTGTTTATTTCCTGTGACATACTCCCTTTTGATACATGGTCTTTACCGTGTGTCAACTTAGCATAATGAGGAAACAGATACTTAGGCAGGCAGGGCTTCCCATCAGGCCCATACCACACTTTGTCAGAAAATGTGCAGCCTGCTTTCTTCCAAACAGCTCTCTCCTATGGACCCGCTCTCGCCTGTAACTCCTGCAAATCAGCAGTAGAAGTCAATGGTGGGTCAGGTAAAACAGTACATTGGGTGGTTAGTGTGTGTTTTGCTGCAGCCTTTGCTGCAAGGTCAGCTCTGGCATTTCCCTGTGAGACAGGATCAAGTTTGTTCGTGTGAGCATCACATTACACACGGCAATCATTTTGGGCAACAGCACAGCATCAAGTAGGTCAGCAACCAGTTTATGATGAGCAATAGGTTTGCCTGTGGATGTTAAAAACTTCCTGTTTGCCACCCCAAGAATAACGGCTGTCTGTAAAAATTTTGCAT